AAGTGCTGAGTCTCTGTCTAATGGAAGAGATAGCTCCACAAAAATCACACAAAGATATAATCGTAGAAATACATACATAGTTAAAATCTGTGATAAGTGTCCTACAACAAAGAAGGGGGGAGCTACTTAAATTGAAGAGGCAGAGAATGTCTCTTCCAGATAGTGAGAGTTGAGACCAAAAGTAGAAGAGTTTTACAGGCTGCGGAAAGGTACATCTGGGCGCCTTAAGGCAGGAAAGAGCCTAAGACACTAAAGGAACAAAAGAAGGCCAACTGTGGAAGTTACAGTGAACCACAGGGTATTAGATATGTTACAAATATGCTTCTAATCCTTACAATAATCCTGCAAAGTAGGTATCAGAACACTTATTTTACAGTGAGGGCACCAAGACCCAGAGGTTCAATTATCAGCTCAAGGTAACAGAACTAGTAAGTGGTACCTTGAGATCCAAATCAAAGACCAGCTGGCACTAAAACCCGTGCCATTTCCATTACATCATATCACATTGCCTTCCTTCTTTTCCTGATGCTCTGAGAAAAGAGAAGTCATTGTTCAAATTATCTTAACTTCTCTCCAACTCAAAATGTCTCTATCTTCATTCACTCTTTCCAACTTCCAAGTGATTTTGGGGTATATTCCATACTTTTAAGCCTGCCAAATCACCTTCATTTAAGCATTTTACTGCACCTGACTAGCTTTCCTCTAAGAGAATGTAATAACATCAAGTATCCCTTCACTACACCTGATCTCTCCTTCCCCTGAGTCTCTTACTCTCAAATTTTTTCCCTACCCCATTTCTTCAGAATACCAACAAACTCCTCTTTTCACCATTTAACTTTAAGAGTAATCTGTTTCGCAGCTCTACTTCCTTTTCCTCCATTTATTCAACCCACTGCAGTTCTGCTTCCATCTCTATAACAATACTAAAACTGCTTTTTCAAGGTCAACAATAATTCTCCAAATGTCAAGTCCAAGAGCTAATCAAATTTTAGCTGCATCCACTATTGATTATTCCCTCCCTGAAACTCTATTATCTTCTTTGACAGTACACTCTGGTGGTTCTCCTATATGTCCAACCACATCTTGTCAGTATAGTTTGTTGGATCTTCTTCCAAGATCTTAAAAGTCATTGTGACACACAAGATACTGAGTGTTAAATGAGTAATAGGTAATGTTCAGAGCTCTTACTGTAGAGCAAATTTAATGGCATTATATGAAAGTGTCATGGCATTTAACAATGAATTCTTTTTCAGCTCCATCTCTAAACAGAAATGTATTTTTCTCATCAAAAAGAGATTTAAATCTCCCCTTCCCCCAACACACACACCTTGGCAATAAAGCAAATGGAGCAGCAAAGCCAAGCTAGGCAGGAAAATCTGATCCCTGATCCTTAAGGAGCAGTGGTTCTTAACATTCTTGGAGTCACAGACCCCTTGGAGAATTTACATGAAATATAAAGACCTTTTCATCACCCAAATTGTGACTACATGAGCTCATACAAGCACAGGTCTGGAAAAAAATCTGAGGGGTTTCCCAGACTCAAATTAGGAATCCCAGTGATAGAATACAGAGTGCTCGGGTAAGGAAAGGAGGAGGGGAAGGCTACAATAATCTACAGCTTTAGCCAGAATTTTGGATAACATTAAAGAGGAGCGGGACTTTCCACTGAAAATCAATTGATCAGTCCTGTATTTTGAACAGGTTCATAAGCAAACACAAAACCTTAGTAAAAATGCTCCTGAAGCAAGACATTTACGTCCCAGGATCTCAAAGTTTACATGTAACAAACAGATGATTGCAGAATCAGATCTATTTCCTTAGCCATACTATCTTAAGGGCTATCTTCAGTACCTCCCTAGATGAGGATAAAGAGAACCCACTATGTATCTTTTACAATTCAAATTAGTAATGAGTATATAACAGTTCTTATTACACTGTAGCTCATCTTTTTTTCCTCAAAATCTTGTCATCTTTTAGTTTAAGAAGTCCTCCAAATAGTGCTTTATATGATTAATTGGATTGGTTAGAGGGATTAGACTTTTATTGTTCAAGACAGGGCAGAATCAGGCAGAACGTCTTGGATCACTGTCTCAAAAAATTCTGATTTTTTTGTCTGAATAAAGAGAAAATGATATCATTTAAAAGACAAAAGAACTTTAAATCTGTTTTCTTATTCTTCAAAATGCTTACATTGATTAGATAGGCCTGGATAAAAGTACAAAGAGAGCTGGTCCATGCTTTTGACCTCCACTCATTACCAGCTCTATTTCATTGTTTTTGTATAAATTATAGGTTTACCATTCTTTATGTCTTTGTATTTCAATATTTTAAACTTCAAGGTACTTAGATATTTCCGCACAATACCTCTATCCCAACACCAAATCTATTATATTTAAGAATCATTCTATGCAAATAGAAAGAATGACTTTTTCTTTTTAGAAAGTTACTTAGATGGAAAAACAAATGGAAGCCGTCAAATATGTCAACAATAAATACAGTATAACAAAAAGATTTCTAAGTTGTGTTAATAGCCCAGGTCAAATTTAACACCATTATTCAAAACCAGCCAAACACATGCTCTCTCTAATGGTGAGTTAGTAGTACCACCTTCATATTAAAAGAACTTTACTATGTTTCATCTATCAATGTCTAAACTGAAGAAGATGATTCCTGTGTACTGGTTTACATGTGTGTGAGTGGCAGGTTCTGGGTCTGCTGTGCTGTGTCGTGACTGTCAGTGTTTCTCTAGTTTTGCAGTAACGCCGTGTTGTTATTTACGCTCTGACAGACTGTCACGTGGTAGGTTCTTTCTCAGGAACTCAATTTAACTATTATTTATTGATATATCATCACCTTTGAAACGCTTTTACTGGCACAACTTATTGTTAAAGTTTTGAATCCAAAAAGTAAAAAGAACTTTACTATGTTTCAATTATAAAATTAATACATTTAGCAATTCCGAAACTTAAGAAACTAAGGTTATGCTCTTGAAGTAGTGCATTGGGAAGTTATAAGATGCATTATCTTAGCACTCAATCGAAGATGCTTACAACAACTTTCATTAAAATTATTTTTTCTGGGAATTCCCTGGCAGTCCAGTGGTTAGGACTGGAGAGGGCGCAGGTTCGATCCCCGGTCAGGGAAATAAGATCCGGTAATCCGCGCGATGCGGCCAAAACATAATAATAATAAATAAAACAAAATTATTTTTTCCATTTGTGATTGTCCTTTCCCATAATATTTAATAATGTTAAATTAATTTTTTAAAGATAAAATCATGACTCATTCTAATACAGAAGTGAACATGGTTCAAGATTTTATTTAACTCACAAAGGAACCAGCCAGATGGTTGATAAAGGGAGTCCCAAAATTGGGCTCATTAATAGATCAGGAATACTGAAATGAATGTACGTGAGGCAAAACTTCCACTCAACCTCTAAAAGACATGTAGAATTTTCATGTCTACAAATAAAATGATTTAGTATTGACAGTAGTTATCTACAGTTTATACAGCTGTAAAATAACTTTCTTAGAATCAGGTAATACAAGGGGTGTCACCGAGATGGAATCTAGACTATGTACTAAAGCACGTTTTTTCCTCATATATATACACATTTTTTCGTATATTAGCCATACACGTTCACCTAAACGCTCCCTTCCCCATCAAACTTATCTGAAGTAAGTCTGTTGCCACAATTTCCTCCTTTCTCATTCATCCAACCCACCGGAGGCTTGGTTCAAACACCTACACTGTTACATCTATTTACAGCCTGATCATATCCATTCTCTACTCTTATCATTTTCTTGAATATGGCAGACTAGGTGAACATGTCTTAAAAACTCAAGAAACGCCTGAAGAAAATCAGGTAATATAGATAAAACTCTATTTTCTAAGCTGGCTGCAGCTATCTTGAAGGCACAGACTTATTTCTTTTATATACCTATATGTTAGCTTTAATCTTCCACAGCTACAGACATCAGAACTCCTTTCTAAACACTTTTATGCAGCCCAAGAATAAAATCGGACAAAACTGCAAGAAAGAAAAGCTAATTCCCACTTGGTGACAGAGCACCTAAAGCCTCAATTACCAAGCAAGGAGGAGTCAGCCCTGGTCACTTCCCCCTCCGGCGACCAAGGAGCGGAAACCAAAAGCCAGACCAATGTCACTCCAGGGACTGCGGAGATCCAGACAACTCAGCATCCTGGGCTCAGCGCCTACCCAGCCCTGATTCGAGCAGCTCTCGGTCCGTGAAACACCCAATCCACACGAGCGACCACACAAACTCGACTCCTGCACCCCAGGACGTGCGCCTCCCCAGGGGCTAGAGCACCACTGTCCCTTGTGCCTGGGTCTGCCTATCCTCTATCTTCTGGTGGGTAACTTCTCCCCGACAGCGCCTCGGGCGAGAGGAACCAGACCAACAGCGGAGGGGGGAGTGCCAGGCTCATTTTTGCGGAGAACTGACAAAACCAGCCCTCTATGCCCGCACCCCCAGCCCTGGCCGAGTCCCGTGCGCCCCCCGCCGCGCCCCCGGCCCGCTCCGCCCCGCCTTCCTTCCCGGCCTCTGTCCCGCCTCTCACAGCATTCCGGCGGTCCCATCCGGGAGGCAGGCACGGCGGGTTAAGTTCCTCGTGGAAAGCGGCCGAGCGGCATCCCCGGACAAGCCTTGCCAGGAGCTCGGCGGGTAAAGCAGCCAAAGTCGCAGGAGGCTGGAAGGACCAGCCGCAGGAGCCCGGGCAGGCGAAACACCGCCTTCCGCTCCCGGCCGGAGCTCACCAATCAGAGCCCAGCTCTTACGTCATTTCCCCCAGAAGGCAAAGGGAACGTCGGGCGGAAGCGGCTCCTCGAGCGGACCCGGAAGGGGTGGGTTCGACGGGCGGGTCCAATCAGCCCGGAGCCTCGTGGAGGCCCAGGTAGGTACCGTAGGCGCGCGGCGGCCGAACGCTTTTTGCTTCGCTCCTCGGGTTTGTTTGGTCCTGGCTGAGGCCTTCCTGGTGCCAGCAGCGGGCGAGGCAGGGGGATTTGGGGCCGGTCTCGAGGGTGGAGGGGCACCTGGGCCACTGCGGGAGCCCCACCGCCGTCCCTGGGAAGCCGGCCGCGGACACCCGAAGCTGGCGCGTGCCGTGTTGAGCTAGTTCACCCGGCGCCTGCAGGGCTCGCCTGAGGATGGTCTGGCAGCGTGGTGGGTGTGCGGAACCCCCACTTCACCCTCTCCTGACTGAAGAATTGGTTTAGGGACATCTGACAGGTCTGTTCCGGCGGTCCAGCCTTTCAGCGCATCATAGAAGCATGTTTTCGGGGGCTGTGGGTTAAGAAGCAGGGGCATAGAGGAAGGTTAGGGCGTGAGCTCTCTCCGAAAAGCGTCATATACACAACATGCATGTGAGACACAAGTGACCAGTACCAAGATGTATGGAAGATCATTGAAGTTCTGAGGCAATGGAAAAGGCTTCGAGAATTGGACTAGCCCCAAAGGAAGTGGGCCTCAGAGGGTAACACTTAGGTAGACGGGCGAATGCATGTTATTCTAAGTGGGAGGAACAGTTTGAAGAAGGCAGGTGACAGGACAAAGAGGGAAACCAGCTAGCCCGACAGAAAAGTTTATGCGAGAACTAAAGAGGAATAGATAGGTTGAGTGCTTGCGAACTGCACACTGTTTAGCTCTTAAAGGGTTTTGGGGTAGGATTAGTGCGTTTGAAAAGATTAGTCAGGTAGTATTAATGACTTTTAAAAGAAATGAATGAAAAACATGGAGGTGGAGGTGCTACATAGTGCAGGAACCCAGTGATAAAGAGCTGGAACAGAAAGTAGTGGAAAGAGAAAAGGATCCTCCTTCAGAGAAACAGGTAGAAGTTTCTGACAAAAGAGAAGACGGAGGCAAAGAAATAGTTTAGTGGTTAAAAGAGGAAATTTTGGTGTTTGGTTTGTAATCTGGCTTTGGCACTTAAAACCAGCTGAATGACTTTGAGCTAGCTATTTCATGTCCCTGTGTCTAGTTTCTTTGTCTGTAAAATAGGGATAAGAATACCAATCTTGCAAGGTAACTGTGAAGGATCCTTTTAAGCACTTTACATGTATTAACCCACTTAATTCAATTAATTATGATCAATCCAATTAATAAATATGAAATTAACTGCATATGTTTACTCAGTTATATATATTTTAATGTATCAGTTACCATATAGTAAGCACTCTTTCAGTATTGGCTGTTTAAATAATACTAATGAGCCAAAGGTTACTACAAGGTTTTGAGCCTGAATGGCTTGGAGAGCTGTGTGTTTTAGACTCAGAAAAAAATGAGTAGGGTTCAGGAAGCAAGGTAGGTTTGGTTTTATACACGTTAAATGTGATACTGCAAGGTGTTCGGATGGGGATGTCTAATAAGCTCTTGGAGCTATATAGTTAGTATTCAGGTATGTAAGGCCAGACTGGAAGTAGGGATGTGGTGGGTCCCTGGGCCTAGGCGTGCTGTATGAAGTCTCCAAGGAAAATACTGTGGTAGATGGCGGAAGACTACCATGAACAACAATTACAGTTAAGGGGCTGGGGCCAGAGGAGTAAGATGAATTGGTAAAGAATTGATCAAATGGCCCAGGTGAAGAGCGTTTTTGCCATGTTAATATTATCTTCCCTTCATTTTTAACTGGCTTTATGTTGGTTCCTAGGAGAAGAAAAATGAGGCCTGTAAGTGGTCATTAAAAGAAAGTATTAGTACAGGCATTGAATATTTTCCTGTTAAAGTAGACTAAAACATCAGGTTGTAATAGAGACCATGTAGCGTTAAACCAAACAAACTGAACCAACAACAACAACAAACAAAAACAGCTCCAGAAGAAGGCTGTAACTTCTGTTTAGTATTCTTGTGTTTTTTAAGTTGCACCGGTGTTTGGGGGAATACCTTTCACATTTCCATATTAAGAGCAGACAAGCTTAATTTATCTCCTTCACCAGTTGTCTCTTATGGTAACCAAGTGTTTCCAGTGAATTTGATTTAGTGCAGTTGTTAAAACCAAAGCTGGGCCCGCCCGCTGTGGGCAGTCAAGCCAGTCTACTGACACCGGGTTGTGGTGAAGGAAAGTGCACTAATGCTAAGTGCAGCTAATGCTGAGAAGACACCCCTCCCCCACACTGGCTTTCAGGGAAAGGTTTTTAAAGTCAAGGTGAGGGAGAGGGGGTGGGGCATGTGATCAGCTGGTGGGCATTTTTCTGATTGGTTGGTGGTGAGGTAATTGGGAGTCAACACCATCAACCTTCTAGTTCCAACTGGCCTGGAGTCTACCTGCTGGTGGTCAGCATTCAGTTAACTTCTTCCACCTGATTGGGGTTTCAGTATCTGCAAAACAGCTCAAGGATATGGTTCAAAATATTATCTCCATAGCCCTTGACGAGGAACCTAAAGATCCTTGATTTTGTTTAATGGCTAAAACTATTTTTATTTTGTCTTGCTTGATTCCTTTGTTTCTGCATTTTCTCACTTCTCTGATTACATTTGCTCTTTGGAACTCAGGGAAGGCTTAGGAGGCTAAAGGTTTTCTACTAACGGGAGGCAGGTGGAGGACATGGTGTGGCGGGGGCGGGGGGGCGAGGGCTGGGGGGCGGCGGTGGTGCCTGACCTGGGAAGGCCCTGTAGTGTCCTGCTCAGTTACACAAGAACTATGGCAACTTTGAAAAACAGTGTGCCAAGGGCAGGTGACTGCCCTGCTTTGGAAATCCAGGGCATACCTGCACGTATTAGTTACAGTAGTTCTCAAAGCGGGGAACCGCAGCAGCAGCATCACTTGAGAACTTGTTAGAAATGAAAAATCTTGCGTCCCACCCCAGACCTACTGAATCAGAAATAGGCCCTGGGGATGTGCGGTGAAGGTGGTTCCCAGCAATTTGTTTTCATAATCCCTTGGGTGATTTAGATACATTCTGGAGTTTGAGAGCCACTGTGCTCGAAGGTAAGTGCCACAAGATCAGGGATTTTGTTTTACTCAACACCATATCTCTGGCGTCTAGATCAGTGCCTGTCTCATTATTAGTAGGTTTACAACAAATGCTCACCAATAAATATTTTCAGTCTCAGGCTGTCCGTCTCCGTGTAAAAACTTTGATGGTAGTTGAATGGGCAGAAGCAAATTGTTAAGCTGCATTGGGGCTACATGTCAGAATTTGTGAGGTGGCCATGACAGTGTGATCAATCCGAAACTTGAGTGAGAGATTACACATTGAGTCAGCAGTGAATAAAAAAATGGAGATGTCTGGGTATTTTATGTCAGTAATATATTCAAAGTAAATGAAGGTTAAGCAACCACAGGTCATGTACTTTTAACTACATGATATGCAGTCGGTGTTTGCCAGCCTAGCAGAACCCAAGAACTCAGTTTTCTTTGTTTGCAGGTGCAGCTGCCTCACTTGTGGTATCAGATGTTAGAACATGGGGCTCACCAGGCAGTACCTACGCTATGTTGCCAGTGCAGTCTTTGGCCTTATTGGCAGCCAGAAGGGTAATATTGTCTTTGTGACACTTCGTGGTGAAAAAGGACGCTATGTGGCAGTACCAGCCTGTGAACATGTTTTCATCTGGGACTTAAGGAAAGGAGAGAAGGTATGCGAGAAATCACCTAGATTGATATTGATTTATGGGTATTTGAGGGTGGAGGCAGAAGTGGGAGAGCTCTGCTTTGTCATGCACAGACTTTGTCATGCACAGATTTTTTTTTTTTTATGTGTGTGCCTCTAGAAATTTTTCCTTTGGGTCTAGATAGCCAAGTATCACATTCTATTGTGCTCTTCTATACTGTATTCTGAAAACCACAACCAAAAGAGCTTACCTCTTGGGTATTTATTTGTAGTGATATTTACAGGTAATTATTTGTAATCATTATTCCCAACATGTTTGTTTTTCTCTACTTTACCAGTTCTCCATTTTTGAAGTTCTTCTACTTGCCCTCACAACTAGTTACAGAATATTAAGCATTTAAAAGGAATATTGCTATGTTGACTGAATCTTTTTCTTACTTATGCAGATGAGGCCCAACGGTTGTTAAACTAGCCTTTGATATCTTGTATGACTCTGAATTCCCAAGCCTACCGCTTCTGCCAAACAAAATACAGGCATTTTGATCTTGTCCACTCACTTTGTGACCTCCAAGAGGTTAATACTTTGATACTTAGTGTCCCCCAGCGTCCCTTGGGGATACATCACTGTAGCACTCCAGTGCCATGCAGGTTGGTTTCTGGGATGGGGCTCAGTTAAATCAAGGATGTGTTTATAACCCTTTATGGAAAATCGTTTGGTGTTGACATAGAATAAGGACTTAGTAATTTATTCCATTGCCTGGGAAATTTTGGCATGTATTATGCTAATGTAGAGCTTTGGAGAAACAGTATAGTATAGCTTTACCTTTTCTTGAATGTTTCATTACCCTGTACAAATAATAATTTCTATATTAAAGAACTTGAGATAGAGTCCGGAGACTCATTATTATTCATAAGAGTGATTTGGAATTATTGATGCTCTTAATTTTACTGTGCCTGATTATTCCCACACTTTTTCCTTGATGACATGCTTAACTCCTCTACATTGTTTTCAATTCTTATTATTTCAGATTCTCATCCTTCAGGGGCTTAAACACGAAGTCACTTTCTTGTGCCCCTCCCCAGATGGGCTGCACTTAGCTGTTGGTTATGAGGATGGGTCTATCCGAATCTTCAGTCTCCTGAGTGGGGAAGGAAATGTGACCTTCAATGGACACAAAGCAGCAATCACTTCCTTGAAGTATGATCAGCTAGGAGGCAGGCTGGCATCTGGGTCCAAGGTGAGACCTTGAATTAGGTGCCCAGACTTTAATCTAGAAAGGAGTGTAAGGCTACTGCTGAAGCAGGTTATTCACAAACATTGTTGCGTGAAACAGTGGGCACTCGGTGTACAAAATAGTATAGATGGTAGAATAGCGTGAGACGGATGGATATGAATTGGGTGGTTCATTTTGTTTCCTGTCAGATTCACTGATAAAAGACTATTAAATACAGGAACAAGATGAGGATGCCCATGATAGTTACTTTGTAACATCATTGTGGATATGCTACCCAAAACAGTACACAAGTTGGGGGGAACAAAACAAATTGGAAAAGGAGAGTCAAAATGATGATTCTTGGCCATTCGTTTTGGTAAAATCGGTAGCTTTCCTATATCTCAGTCATCAGAAAATAGAATAAATGATTCCATTTACAAAAGTATGTTAAGTAATGGACACAAAAATACTGTGAAACTTTACTAAAGAATGTAACAGAAGACTTGAGTGAATAGAGACACAAACCATGTTCTTGAATGGCAAGACACAGTATTGAAAAGACGCTCGAATGTTCTAATTAGTTTATACAGATAAAGCAATTTAAATATCCCAAAGGTCTTTTTGTTGTTTTTTTAGAATATGACCAAATGATTTAAAAGAACATATTGAAAAAACAAATGAATAATAAATAGCAGAATTTTGGGAAAAAATAAAAGGGTTTCAGATTTCTTTTTTCAGGGTTAGATTTAAGAAGTTTCAGATATTAAAATGCATTATGAAGTCATAACTTATAATGTGTTATATTAACCTGGCATTAATACAAAATAGTCAGATTACTGTAACCAAATGGGAATCCAAGAAACAAATACACTTGATATACCTAATTAGTATATTTTAAAGATGACATTTTTGATGAGTAGATAAATGATGGATTACTTATGAAACAGGACTTAAACAGTTGGCTAACTGTTTGAGGGGAAATTTAAAGTTAAAACTTTACCTCATGCTGTGTACCAAAGAGTCACAGATTAAAGACTTAAATATTAAACCATGATATTTTAAGTAAAGTAGAAGATATATAAATAAATATTTATTTGATATCAAGGTGGAAAAAGACTTCAAGCATATCAGCAAGGAAAGAAATTATAAAGGAAAAGACTGATAAATTTGAACGCTTGATATTTGAATATTTAAAACATTTGTGCATTTAAACACTATAAAGAAGTTGTCAAGAGTAAATCCTAAGAGTTCTCATCCCAAGGAGAAATTATTTTTCCTTTTTTTCTTTTTATTATATCTATATGAGGAGATGGGTGTTAGCTGAACCTATTATGGTAATCATTTCACAATATATGTAAATTAAACTGTCATGCCGTATGCCTTAAACTTATACAATGATGTACATCAATTATTTTTTCAATAAAACTGGAAAAAATAAAGTTAAAGGACAATGAAAAAGGGAAAGTATTTAATAGTTCCACTATGAAAGGGAAGGATTAATGTGTCTTAATAACCAAAAAACAAGTGAAAAATAAGACCCAAAGGAAGATGAAAGACATGACTTGGCAGTTCAAAGGAGGTGCAGAATGGCCAGTAATCACCATAGAGCATGTATAGAATTTCTCATTGGTATTCAGAAATGCAAATCAAATAAACATTGAGACAGCCTTTCAACTTTTGAAATTGGCACTGTTTTTTGAGCAACTGATAATATCCAGAGATGAAGGGATGGGAAAACTGGCATTGTCATACATATCCTTGGTGGACCTTTAGATTGGTGCAGCCTTTCTGGAGATCACCCTGAATTGCAGACTTAAGATAGAAATACCTTTTAACCCAAGAATTTCCCTTTTTAGTTTTTATTCTGGTCAGAGATATGTACAAAGATAGAGGTACAAGAATGTTCATTTCCACATATCTATGATAGCAGAAAATTGGAAACTGCCTAAATGGCTGAAATAGAAAAAATTTAAAGTAAATTATGGTATATCCTTAAGGTTGGTTATTATGTGACCATTAAAAATGAGAACAGTGTGGAAAGACATGGAAGTATATTAAATGAGGAAAAGGAGGAGAGTTATACAGTGATAGGAATAGCATGATCTCAGTTAACAACATGTATGTATACATAAAGACTAGAATAGTATACAACAAAATATCTGTGGTGGTTATATCTGGATGGTGAAATCAACTGGTGTTTGGTTCCTCTGTGCTTTTCTGTATGTTTTCCAAATTTTCTATAAGGACTACATATCAACTTTGTAATGAAAATATTGTTTGTCAAGTTAGGCCTTATGTGGTAAAGAAAATTCTTCTATATTTGATTCCTTTAGGACACAGATACTATCGTGTGGGATGTGATCAATGAAAGTGGCCTCTACCGTCTAAAGGGGCACAAGGACGCTGTTACACAAGCATTGTTTCTACGAGACAAGAATCTGCTAGTTACTAGGTAGAGAAATAATAAGTTTCGTTTCCATTTTTCTCTAGGTGAATTCATTGGAGAGGTTTTCAAAGAGGGAATTTGTTTCATTCCTTACTCGTATCTCCGCACTATACTCAAGCTCATGTGCTAGTTTCCTCTTCTCGCTGCTTTTCCTCTCTCTTCCCCTCCCTTCCCCTCCCCTCCCTTCCCAAACAGTGTCATAGATGCTGTCCAGAGTTATTTATAGCATTTTTTAATTCCCTTTTCTGATTTGTCATTATTTTCCCCTGATACCAGCTTTTCCATAATTCCTTAACTCTTCAACAGACCTTGTATAGGATGAGCTGTCTACTTTCTGGATCCCTAGAAAGTCAGAAAAGCCGAACATGGAGCAGTGGGCAGATGCGAATACCAAATGTTTGTCTTAGCCTGCCTCTTGAGAAGAGACATACTCCATACTTAGGCCTTCTGAACATCTCATAGGTTGAACCATTTGAAATTTCCATTTGTGTGGGTTAAAAATGATAGGTTAGATATCAGCAATTTCATATATCAGCAATTTCATATAGCTCAACCTAATATAATAGTTATCATTCCTAAGGAATGACCACCCAGGAAAGTTTGGGATCTTAAGTTTTGCCAGGCAGTAATTAGAAGAACCATAGTAATTAGAACCATAGAAGAACCAGAAGGCAGTGTAGAGGAGCAGCACGAAATGCTGTACCAGTGGTGGATTTGTTCCTGTGGGATAGGATGCAGGGACATTAGTGTGTCTTGTTCAGATAACACATTCTGTGAGGCAATGACTCTACTGCTCTACTAGAATATACATACACCTTATAGCTTAGGGAATGTAAGGGAAAGGAAATAACACCGTGAGGTGGGATTATATAGCAAAGACTTTGTAAATTGGGTTTTTGGTTTTTTCCAGTTTTGTCTTGAAGCAGGATTTATATTAGATTCACATTGGTGAAGAAGCAGGGAACAGGCATTTGAGGCAGGAATAGTAGAGCCCATTGGCAGGGAGATTAAGTGCCAGTTAATGGGAGGTTTTGGGAATGGTGCTGAAGAGCTTGATTTTGAATCCATAGAGAACCTTGAGTTAGTGCAAACTTAGAAGATTAAGATTATCTGACAGTAATGTATTGGATGTGGTGAGGGAACAGAATAGACAGAGACCAGATACGTTATTAAAATAATTCGGGCAGTAGGACCTAACTTCAGGTTTGTGTACAGAAATGGATTGGAAGGAATCGAGGCTTGGAGACTTACCAGAGGAGGCGTTTTCAGGACCTAGAGACTAGCTGGACATAGGAGACAAGGGAGCAGGAGAGGTCTAAGATGTTTGTGTGTTAGAATGAAGGAATGTTGATGCTGTGGCGATGGAAATGGTGGTCAACTGGTCAAGTTCTGCGTTCTGTAGCACTCTGAATTCAAGGTTATTTTTGTGCTTACAGATGGAACATTTTATTTTTCTACCTGAGAATAGACATATAAAGAGTTAGGATTCTTTACTTTTTAAAAGAAAGGTCAGGTAAATAGTAGCATTAGATATCATTGCTGTGTATTGTCTTTTTAAGGCAACAAATAAGTCCTTGATTTTCCTGTTAGTTCAGTGATTCTTCCTAATAAGATTTTTTTCCTATTTCTTCTTCTAGTGGGAAAGATACCATGGTGAAATGGTGGGACCTTGATACCCAGCACTGCTTCAAAACAGTGGTTGGCCACCGAACTGAGGTATATGTAGGGTCATGGGCCCAGGGAAAGAATAGCAAGGCAGAAAGGAAAAGATGGTTTCTTCCCTGGCCCTTTCATGACTTTGTTTTTACTGCTAACAGTAATCAACATGTACTGTCTTTAGAGAGAGAAGTTGGAGTGATGGACAAAGTGCCAACCGTCAGAGCAGATGCAGCTGCTCTGGCATTTAGTAGAAATTGGCCTCGGATAAGTTTTTAACCCATGAATATGGGTTTCATCACTTCTAAATTATAAGTATCCACCTTTATGATCATAGGGAAGTTTAATGATACTGTGTATACAGTGCCTGGCCCAGTGACGTGTAAATAGCAAATTGTAGCCATTATAATAATTACCTGAACATAGATCTGTTCAATAGAGATCAGGGAATACTTTACATCTTGGCATCCTCCTTTGTGCTTTGTTCATACCAGGCATAGGTGAAGGTGATTAAGGGGTACAAACTTCCAGCTATAAAATATGTAAGCCATGGGATGGAATCTACACATAGGGTATATAGTCAATAATATTTTAACAACTTTGTATGGCGATGGATGGTAACTGGTCTTATTTTGGTGATCATTTCATGATGTATAAAAATATTGAATCACTGTGTTATATGCCTTAAACTAATTTAACATTGTTAATTATAACTCAATTATATATATTTTTGTATATATATGCCCTAGAATATATGAGGAATATACACACCCTAGAATTAATGAGGAGGAAAAGCAGATTCTTTCTTGATTTGCAACAGTACTGTTGTTTTCATTGTTTAGTTAGTTCATGGATGTTTGAGGCTAAAAATTATGCTCTGATAGACGTTAATGGGGCACCTTTCATTTGCAAGGCACTGCTGAAATCAAAGAAGTGCCACGCTTGAAATCATTATTTTGAGTGGCTTCTAGTTAGGATTTATTCTGAACAGCCATTATCTAAATTTAAGGATAGGAAATTACAGAGAAACTGCTAGTTACCCCATAAACAACACTTCCACCACAGATCATTTTCTTTCTCAAAGTGAGCTTCCTTGTAGTGTATTTTGAAAGGGTTGTCTTAATATTAGACTTTGCAATGCCAAAGAGATTTCACTACAGTGTACTTAGACTTTTGGAATGTCATGTCATGCATCCTGGAGTCCCTTAATAACCATATTATTTGAATCTTTTTATACCCTGTAGGTGTGGGGGTTGGTTCTGGTCTCAGAAGAAAAGCGACTCATCACTGGGGCTTCTGACAGTGAGCTGAGGGCTTGGGACATAGCTTACCTGCAAGAGGTAATTGCTTTTTTTCTGATCATGGGCAGTGTCATGTTTTAGCGATTTCATAGGCTTGCTGAATTTAGAATCAGATGTAATTTTTGAGTACTTCACATACGATTGGAATTCTCTCTTACTGTGATTTCTAAACAATTTTTTTTCTTCATTCTGTGGTTCATTTGCACTTGGAAGGATAGCTTTAGGCTGACAGCTCTTGGTAATGTTAATGTTTTAGTCTGTAGGGCTCTTAGCTTGATATTCCTTGACCTTTGGGTGTCCACGGATGGACTTCCAAATATCTGTGACCCTCTTCCCTCAAACAAAAATCTATGTGAAATTTGTGTATGTTTATGTAAATATGTATATTCTGAGAAGATCTGTCACATTTTCTCAGATCATCAAAGATTTTGCGTGAAAAGGTGAAAGGTGTTATAGACCTTAGGGTTTAGCTGGAGTTAGGTGTGTGGTGTTGTGTCCAGTAGCCATTTTGATGGGTTCTTCATTAGTAGGCTAGGGTTTATCTTTTTTTTATTTAAGGAGAAAATGTAACCTCTCTTGCAATGTCTTTCAATTCGTAATGCCAATATGAATCTTTCCCTCTAGAATATGGTAGATCTTTCACCTAAGAAGGTTTTAAAATTAATGAGGTCATCATTTTTTCACCTTGTTATGAAACAATAGTCCTTAGACTGTGGAAAGTTATTGGAGCTGGTATAATGAATAATGTTTTGTTTGTATTCTTGATATGGTCAGTTTTTAACACATTCTGATGAATGTGCTGTCGTTGAAGAGGTTTGATCAGAGAGATCACTAAATGGAAGTTATCAGTGGCTATAAGGACAGGTTTCTAAGTCATTAGGGGGGAAAATCACCTGGAACAAATTATTTCAGCTTTTTTTTTTTTAAAATAAATGTATTTATTTATTTTTGGCTGTGTTGGGTCTTCATTGCTGCACATGGGCTTTCTCTAGTAGTGGCCAGCAGGGGCTACTCTTCATTGCGGTGCTCAAGCTTCTCATTGTGGTGGCTTCTCTTGTTGAGGAGCACGGGCTCTAGGCACGCGGGCTTCAGTAGTTGTGGCTTGCGGGCTCTAGAGCGCAGGCTCAGTAATTGTGGCGCATGGGCTTAGTTGCTCTGCGGCATGTGGGATCTCTCTGGACCAGGGCTTGAACCCATGTCCCCTGCATTAGCAGGCGGATTCTTAACCAGTGAGCCACCTGGCAAGCCCTATTTCAGCTTTTATTTTCCCATTTTTATAAAACAGATTGAAGACCCAGAAGAACCAGAGCCCAAGAAAGTCAAAGGGTCTTCCCCTGGAATACAGGACACACATGAAGCAGAGGATGGTACCCTTGAGATGGATGAAGCTCCTGAGGATGTAATTCATTTTTGTTTCTTACCTTCAGTTGAGTTGAGTGGTGGGAAAGTATTCATTTTAGGAAAGATCTTTGTCACCTGCATTTCTTGGGATCATGTCTTTTCAGGGGTCAACAGAACTATTAACCTTCATCTTTTCTCTTGCTTCCTCTGCAGCGCATCCTTACATGTAGAAAAGCTGGTTCCATAATGCGGGAAGGAAGGGACAGAGTTGTGAACCTTGCAGTCGACCGGACAGGCAGGATTCTTGCTTGCCATGTGAGTACCAGGCTTAGAAGAAAATAACAAGGACTTGGCTCTTCCTTTAGAGACTTGTTCTTCTTTCGTATTCAGTGTGGAGGTGAATTTTTCTTTGGTCCTGTTAAGATTTCCTTATATGGTATTGTGTGGACCTGTATTCCCTAACTTCTGTTAGCCCAACAACAGTAATTGCTCTTATTCTTCTTATTATTAGCAAACATTTATTAAATCCCTGCCTTTCTAAACAATTTAAAAGCATTAACTTCTTTTTTCTGTTTTTTTTTAAACATCTTTATTGGAGTATAATTGCTTTACATTGTTCTGTTAGTTGCTGCTGTATAACAAAGTGAATCAGCTATGCGTATACATATATCCCCATATCTCCTCCCTCTTGCGTCTCCCTCCCACCCTCCCTATCCCATCCCTCTAGGTGGAAACAAAGCACCGAGCTGATCTCCCTGTGCTATGCGGCTGCTTCCCACTAGCTATCTGTTTTACATTTGGTAGTGTATATACGTCCATGCCACTCTCGCACTTTGTCCCAGCTTACCCTTTCCCCTCCCCATGTCCTAAAGTCCATTCTCTATGTCTGCGTCTTTATTCCTGTCCTGCCCTTAGGTTTTTCAGAACCAATTTTTTTTTTTAAGATTCCATATATATGTGTTAGCATATGGTATTTGTTTTTCTCTTTCTGACTTACGTCACCCTGTAAAAAGCATTAACTTCTTATTTAGTCTCAGAGTAACATTGTAGAAAGTGGTGAATTCCCACTTTACAGATGAGACAGCAATCCCAACGAGATTAAGTTGTCCATGGTAATACAACTAGTAAGGGAAGAAAGAGAAATGTTCTTACAGAGAAAAAGCTAAATTACAAATTGCCTCTCCTGGACTCACATCAACCTTTTGCCTTTCTAGGGGACTGATTCTGTGCTAGAAGTGTTTCGTATCCTTTCCAAGGAGGAAATTCAGAAGAAAATAGACAAGAAGATGAAGAAAGCTAAAAAGAAAGCAAAGTGTGTTTTCTTAATATTTACTACTAGTCAACAAGTATCGTGGGTGGGCCACATAGTACTGAAGGAAAAACTATGGCTTCTTTAAAGGAGTATTTACTCTGTTTTCAATTACCATTAAATGCTAGGGAAGATTTTATGGAGTGCTGGTAGTCCAAGTTTTTAATTTCTAAATACAGCTTCATAACTATCATATTCCTAGGTCTTGCACTCAGAGCCACACAGAACGAGAAAGGCAGTACAGATATTCAAACATGGCTTCTAAATGATTTAATTCTGAGAGGCTAGCAGTGTGTCTTCGGTGACAACAGCCTATACAGAAGGAATCCAGGTTGCATAGTGCTGACCTTTGGGACTGTGAGAAGGAAGACTGGTTGGACAGTTACATAATTGGAGTTTGGGGGCAGTATAACCTTACAATAAATAGGTCATTATAGCCATAGAAATCAGTTTCTCAGTGGTTGAAATTTATCAAGTCTCAAAGAAATAAAAAGTCACCAGTTTTTAAAAATTTTTATTTGCCAAAGCAAATCTTTTGAGACCTCTGGGTTTTTTTGGCATGGTTGGGTTATAAGTGCAGAGTAATGGGTTTTCTAAAAAGTCCTGAAGTTAGAGAAGTTTACCAGAAACACTTCAGTGGGATAGTTTGAACTATAAAGACTTGTCCCCAGAAATTTTATGGGCTTTTGCATTCAGAATCCATTTATTGAGGGTACCCATAGGATAGAATAACACTTCATATTAATTGCGTTGTGGTTCACAAAGCGTTTTTACGTACACTACATTGTTTAATTCTCATGGTAATCCATGTGGTTAAGTGACTCTTCCGGGTTCAATAAAGGTTGTTGGTCTCAGACCAGAGCTTGACTCAAGTAATAGCAAAGCTTCTTCTAGAAAAGTGATAGCATGATAGTCTTTTTTTTTTCTCCTCTAGATTAAATTCTTGCAAAGAGGAGGAGGAAGACCTTGAAGTCAATGTTGAAATGACTCTGCAAGATGAAATCCAACGGGTGACTAATATCAAAACTTCTGCCAAAATCAAGTGAGTGAAAATGTAGTAGCTGAGGTATCTGAGAGAAGTATCTGAAGTGTTGCTACAAAATTGTATTGGCTTTTCCCACTATTTGTAAGCAGTCTCTGCAAATTACGTATCTGGAGATGGTGATCGTGGCCTCAGCTCCTGCCTCTCACCATGGGCCCACTTACTCATCATCTCATATTTGTTTTCTTATGATAGCGTTTTAGCTTTTTACTTACAGTTCTTTGCTGCCAGTTAAAAAGAAAAATGTATACCCCACATTCCAAAAGGATTTGCGGTCACTTATAAAAAAGAATACATGCACAGAAACAAGTCAGAGCCAGTATCTGAGCTCAGGTTTCTTGGACTTAAAAGCCTATACTAGACGACTGTCCAATACTCAGAGCACTCTTATTTGTAAAATCCTTTATACTTGTTCAAACTTTGTATAGATGGAGGGCATTGCAAAGCTTTTCTCCTAGAAAAAAATTAACCTTGTGAGCTAAGATGGTTGCTGGAACATTTATGAATATTTTCTCATGCAGATCCTTTGACTTGATTCATACTCCTCAAGGAGAGTTAAAGGCTGTCTTCCTTCTGCAAAACAACTTGGTGGAATTATATTCACTGAATCCATCCATGTCAGCTCCTCAGACTGTCAGGACAAACAGAATTACCATCGGGGGTCATCGCAGTGATGTGCGGACTTTGTCATTCAGCTCAGACAATATCGCTGTCCTTTCAGCAGCAGCTGATTCCGTTAAGATATGGAACAGGTTTGTGAAATGATGCTTTCTATAGCTTTATCCAATAGTGTTTTCTTCCCTTTGAGTTAGTTTTTAATACTCTTGATGGTTAGTTATTCTTACGGCCCTAAATACAGTTCCCTCAAAATGTATCTTCAGTGCATTTTGACTGTAGGCCTGTGGAGTTTAGAGTAGGAAAAATTGCCTTTTTAGATTTGGTATAAAAAATGTAAGTTTATTCCATGTCTGAAGCTTATTGCTGTACTTGGCTAGAGAAAAACACAAGCATACTTCCTACTCTAAATTCAAATAGGCTCTTAGTGCTTTACAGTAATTTTACCATGATTTCTCATTCCTCACTTTCCTAGATGACTATTTCACATGTTCTTACCGCTCCTCACACCTCACACCTGTAGCCCCTTTAAGCTGATGACCTTGCCTCCTAGTTCACTGAAGAAATGGAATCATCTAGAAAATGTTCATATGCTCCCACCTTAGCTGCATCTGTATCCACATAATCTTTCTTCCTATGACTGTTGGTGCTCCTAACCAAAAGGTAATCACAAGCTATATTTCTCCTTCTAGCAATTTTCCTTCCTCTCTTGCATCATTAATCTTCCCTCTCTGTTGGGTTGTTCGCATCAGCATACAGATACACTGTAATATCTCCCATCTTGAAGGAAATAATCCTGTTTCATCCTTATCTCTCTGTCCAATTATCTCCCCCCATCCTCTGACTCCTTTTCTCCATCAGACCTTTATCCCCACCATTTCACCAAAACAGCTCTTGTCATCTCATCAGTGGTGTTCATGTTTCAAAATCCAGTGACCAATAAGCTTCGTTTGACACTGTCTTTGAATTGATAACTTTTCTCCTCTTTGAAACAGTTTGAATTTCATTACTTCCTCTTTCTCTGCTGGCTGTTTTTTTCCTCAGTCTTGGCTAGACCCTTTTTATTTTGCTGACTTCTAACTGTTGGAATACTTCAGGGCGGAGTCTTTGAAACTTTTCTCTGTCTACACTCACTTTCTGTGATCTCTAGTCAGGTGGCTTTCTATAAGCTGGTGACACTTAAATTTCTATCTCTAGCCATAGCCTCTCCCTGAACTTCAGACTCATATGTCCAAAGCTTTTGTTTGTATCACCCTTGGATGTCTAATTAGGTATCTCAGATTTTTATATGTCCAAACCATACTTGTGATCTTCATTTCTTCAATAGTCTCCCCACCCTCTGTTCCTACAGACTTCCCTATATTAGTAAATAATTACTTCCTGTGGTTTTTCTAGCCCAAATCCTTGTAGCCATTCTTGATTCTCTCATGTCCAGTGCATTAGCAAATCCTATCAGCTCTACCTTCAAAACTTCCCTGGTGGTCCAGTGGTTAAGAATACACCTGCCAATGCAGAGGACTTGGGTTCGATCCCTGGTCCGGGAAGATCCCACATGCCATGGGGCAGCTAAGTCCGTGTGCCACAACTACTGAGCCTGTGCTCTAGAGCCTGTGAGCCGCAACTACTGAGCTTGCGTGCCACAACTACTGAAGCCCGCGCACTCTAGAGCCTGTGCGCTGCAACTCCTGAGCCCACACGCTGCAACTACTGAAGCCCACCTGCCCAGAGCCCGTGCTCTGCAACGAGGAGCCACCGCAATGAGAAGCCCGCACACCGCAATGAAGAGTAGCCCATGCTCACCACAACTAGAGAAAGCCAAGATGCAGCAATGAAGACCCAGTGCAGCCAAAAATAAATTAAAAAAAATGAGTGTTTAAAAAAAAAAATTCACCTGGAATTCAGCCACATCTCATCACCTGCGCTGCCGTGACCTGGTTCAGACCACCAACATCTCTTATCTGGATTGTAATAGCTTTCTGACCAGTCTTCCATGCTTCCTTACTTGCCCCTCTGTGGTCTATACTCAACACAGCAGCCAGTGTAATCTTTTTATAATGGAAGTTATATCACTTCCAGGAGCTCCATCTCACAAAGACTAACTACAAGCCACAGTCCTTACAGACATTGCCTCTTACCACTCTCCCCTTCTCCAGTGGAGCCACCCTGGCCTTTTCGTTATCCCTTACAGGCGACAGGAGTGTGCCTGTGTCATGGCTGTTGTGCTCCCTTTCTGCGTGGAACCATATTCCCCTTTTGGCTAAGGCTTTCTCCCTCTCTTCTCATCACATGGCCATCCTGCTATCCCCTTCCCACCCTTGTACTCTTGGTCCCCTTCCCCCAGGTGCTGTGTTTCTCCATAGCACCTGCTAGCACCTGATACACCAATATTTGTCTCATTTCCAGAGGATGTTAAGCTTTATGAGATTTGGGGCCTCTTCTGTTTAATTCATTGTTATATCTCCAGCACCTAGAACGGTACCTGGCATTCAGTAAATGTTGAAGGAAGTGGGCATTTGATATCTGTTTGTTGCATGGATGAATGTTTATGGTCCAGTAAAATGAACTTTACTTGTAAGGATACAGTATGCTAATTCGACTTGCAGTCCTCTGGCCTCACTTCTTTGTAGTGGCAGTCTGTTGAGCCCAGCAGATGCTTTTCTCAGCTCTTTCGTAGAATCTGTTCCTTAGGATTGGGAGCCGCCATGAAAGAAAACAAAGTTAGGTGCCGCTTACTAATTTCTCCTTTCACTGTAATAAGCCAGGGTTATTCAGACTTTATCCTTTCTCATATTGATCATTCTGTGTGGCTAAGTTTGTATGAAATGTACATGCTGACCTCTCAGATGGAGAAGCAGGTTCTCTTAACATACAAGTTCTTTATTCCTTCTTTCTCACAGGTCTACACTGCAGTGTATTCGCACGATGACCTGCGAATATGCACTTTGCTCATCCTTTGTACCTGGTGATCGGCAGGTGGTCATAGGAACAAAGGTAAACAGGCTTTTCCATGGATTTGGGGGACTTTTTCTACTCAGTTATTCTTAAAGTTGTTTGAGAAATATGCTTTCTATTTTAACATATGGGAAATGTATTAGGGCCAGATAGTATGAGAGGGTGTTAGTTCATTGCCCTTTTTTTTGAGGTTTTTATTTTTATTTAATTAATTTATTTTGGGCTGCATTGGGTTTCCGTTGCTGCGCACAGGCTTTCTCTAGTTGCGGCGCAAACGGGCCAATCTTCGTCACGGTGCATGGGCTTCTCATTGCAGTGGCTTCTCTCGGGCTCTAGATACACGGGCTTCAGTAGTTGTGGCTCACGGGCTCCTGAGCGCAGGCTCAGTAGTTGTGGCTCACGGGCTCCTGAGCGCAGGCTCAGTAGTTGCGGCTCACGGGCTCCTGAGCACAGGCTTAGTAGTTGTGGTTCACGGGCTCCTGAGCACAGGCTTAGTAGTTGCGGCTCACGGGCTCCTGAGCGCAGGCTAAGTAGTTGTAGTTTGCGGGCTCTAGAGGGCAGGCTCAGTAGTTGTGGCGCGTGGGCTTAGTTGCTCCGTGGCATGTGGGATCTTCCCGGACCAGGGATCGGACCCTTGTCCCCTGCATCAGCAGGTGGATTCTTAACCACTGCAACACCAGGGAAGCACGAGGTTTTTATTTTTAAGTTTTGTTTTCTTTGTGTTTTTTTTTTTAAACCAAATCTTATGTCACATTACAAAGAAAATTAAAATCATGACCTTGAGATAACTGTCACTAACATTTTGGAGATCAGCCTTTCATGCATCTTTTTATGAGCACACGTGTAATTGTGTTTTGAGAAGACTGATGATAAAAGACATTAAGTACCAGCATCATGCGTGGCAGATAGAAGCATTTGGTAAAGACAGCCTGACTGATGAAGTCCTCAGCTGCTAATCAGATTGGGAGATAACCATGAGGGAATAAGCAGACATGGATTTGGATTCAGGTTCTTCCCCTTACGAAATGGGTAATTTGGAGAAAGTCATATAACTTCTCTTAGTGTGTTTCATTATCTACACAATGGAATGGTGACACTTGCTTTTTTGCAGAGCCTTTTCTGCCAGATGGGCCTAGGTTAGAATCCCAGCTCTTCCACTTACTGGCTATAAGACCTTTTGGGCAAGTTACTCAACCCTGTGAGCCTTAGTTTTTTCATGTAAAATGATGTAAATAACCTGCCTCACAGTCTGCAAAGCACTTAGCACAGAGACTGGCTCCCAGCAAATAACTAATAAATAAGAACTAGTAGCAGAAGTAGCACGAATGGTAGTAGTAGGGGTGGTAGTGGAAATAAAGTGGAATAAGGTCTATGGAATATTTTGAAAAGTGCTTTGCAAGTATTTGTCATTATTATCCCCCTAAACTAATGCCATGTGCGCATGATTGTTTTATTAGAAAAACCTATGTTATCATAATGGATATTTTTGGTCCAGCAAAAAGTGTAAAATAAGCTGGAGAGATTTTAGGGTCAGTGTCAGTGAAAGAACATTAAATTTCAGTTAAAAGTTTTCCTCAGTTTTCATTCATTCTTTTAACAAATGTCCATTCACTATCTGCTATTGGGAAAACATTTTGCACATTGCTTCAAAGACTATTTGTATGACTCAGACAGAATCCCTAGCCTAGTCTCTGTGCCGTGCTGCTAACATACATGATCTCATTTCATCCCCACAACAGCTTAGAGGGGTTGGTGATATAAACTCCATTTTTCAGATGGAAAAACGGGCTCACGGAGATGAATTTACCCACAGTCAGAGTTAGAGAGAAGCAGCCCTGGGATTCAAGTCTTCCCCTTACGTTCTTTCCACCACGTGTGCACAGGCTTGTCATAGAGCAGGCTTTGCCACTGTGTGTGTTCCATGCTGGCACCATGACCACAGCATATACATGGTCTAAACAGGAAGCGTGGCTGATAGCTTTCTAAGCTACTGTGATTTTGTTTTTTTCAAGTTCATTGCCCTCCCTAGCATTGTAGGTAGTATTTCTCATTATCAGTGTATTCTAGAGGGGGAAATCAAGAGTTGGTTAAGCCAACTACCATAGAGGATAGTCCACTTAAAGGACTGATTAAGTTTTTTAAAGGTTTTTAAGTTCCCCATTTGCTCTTATGTTTATTCTGATATACCTGTGGCCATGATATTTACCTTTTGAAGTTGAGGAAACCAGTGGAAGTGACAGTAATCCTGTACTACAAGGTTGTACTGTTCCTTAGTTGTACAGTATAGCAACCCTGCCAGGATTAACCCAACATGTCCGTAGGGGATTTAACAACATTTATTCACAGAGGAAGTACAGAGCATGGACCGTGGAAGCCCGTTTCCTAAGCGGTTAGCTACATTGTTGCTGCTTGGTTATGAAACTGTGTAGGTTGTGTGTTCATTTTGTGTCTTCCAAAGACAGGAAAGCTGCAGCTTTATGACTTGGCCTCAGGAAATCTGCTGGAGACAATAGATGCACATGATGGAGCTTTATGGTCCTTGTCTCTCTCTCCAGATCAGGTAACTAAACCAGATGTTAAGATCCGGGCTTCAGTACTCTGGCTGTACTTCCCATTTCTTATATCAAGTTCTACTGCTGCCTAACAGGGATTTGTCTCAGGGTTTCTTTAAAGAAAGCCCACTTCTGTCTAATGTCTAGCTTTTATATATGATGCCATATCTTGTGCCTGATAATATGAATAGCTGTCATTATGATTTGAAATCTTGTTCAGCTGCTGTTCATCATCAGCTCCATGACATCAAATTGCTTACCCTCCTGACTTTGTACCAGTGGTTTGTGATACTTCTTAAGAGGAAATACTTCCTGGGGCAACACAATGTGGAGGATAGAGTAGACTTTTTTGCTTCCCTTTTAGTCCACATATCTATGACTATATAAATCTAGTGATTTTTTAGTAAATATGTGAACCTTTTCAAGTCAATAACGGTGTATTTCCCTTCAAAGGAGTCACCCTGGAGAACTGTGTACTTATTCCAGTAATGGTGCTGTTGCTCAGAACATTTTGAGATAGTTTTTGACAACACCTTAAGGGATTGTGGCCCATTTATTTGAATACTCCCAATGGTGGCAAACCTTCATTCATTGAAAGTAGATATTTTTGGAAAAAAAGGAACCTGGAATTTAGACTGGGTAATGCCATTTGGGGTCAGAAATGAAACAGCATTTAAAATTTAAATAGTAGCAACATCTAGCATTTGTGGAGTGTTCTCTTTTCCAAAGTGTTTTCACATCCATCATGTCATTATTGTTATTTTCACAATGATTTTATAAACTAGGTAGTCTTTACAACTGCACCAACACTGAGGGTCATTATAAGGTTATTTTCCCATGTTACAAATCTCTGAAATAGCAGACATTTGAGATGTAGTTTTCTGACTCTATAGTCCTTATAGCTTACACTAACACTAAAATGTGATAAAACCAATTGAATACTTCATAGCAAATTCTTTTGACTGTTGCCTTACTGTGTAGTGTTCATTGAGTCTTTCTTCCTGATGCTGAATGAAAGTATAACTAGAACTTTACACTAGTTATCATCTGACTACATTAGTCTCTGCTAGGAGTTCTCCAGTAGGATCTGTGGTGGCATCCCATAAAGAGCAATGAAGGGAGTTAAAGAAAAACCACATATCCTAATTCTTACCCCATGCCATTAAATAAAAATGGTCTTTTATACTATTTTGAGGTGTCTTATTAAAGTTTCTATACTAAGATATTTTTTTAACGGAAATGTCATTTGATTTTCAGCGTGGCTTTGTGACAGGTGGTGCAGATAAATCTGTCAAGTTCTGGGATTTTGAGTTGGTGAAAGATGAAAACAGTACCCAGAAGAGGTGAGTGGACATTTTTTATTTGTGTCCATTTTTGGGGAGCGAAAATCGGGAACCATTGAATGGGATTTTGACATGTATTGATATTTCTGTTGAGCTCCAGAGGGTTTTTGGAATTTTTTTGTGCCTTCGTACTCATTTTTCTTGATGCTTTCTGTAATGCTAGGCTTTCTGTGAAGCAAACCCGAACCTTGCAACTAGATGAAGAAGTTCTGTGTGTCAGTTACTCTCCCAATCAAAAGCTGTTGGCTGTGTCTTTGCTGGACTGTACTGTGAAAGTTTTCTATGTTGATACTTTAAAGGTACAATGGTTATGCCTATGGATATTTGCTTTCTTTCTGACTGACCTTGGGTTGAGACTATAAAGAAGTGTCCTTGAGTGTTCCCAGCAGTAGTATGTTTCTAAAAATTTGTGAATCAAAACATTGCAAGTACACTAGGAAGGCTAGGGTTTTAAAAGAATCCTTTGGTTCATAAATTTTGTTGAAAGCAAGTTGTATTTCATATGTTCAGAAAATCCTGTCGTAGCCAGTAGTTTTAAGAGCGATGCTAGGTCTTAGGCAGTGATTCCACACTTGGCTGTAAGTCAGGATCATTTGAGTTTCTTTTAAAAATATAGATTACTGGGCTCTATGCCCAGAGTCTCAGTGGGACTGGATTGGGCCTGGAAATATTGTTGTGAAACAAGTGCTCCAGAGACTTTTCAGCTAAGAGATCCAGAGAACGTCTCTGTTCCATATTCTGACTGAGGGAATAGGCTTCTGCAGCAGCCCTGGCTCCACTGTATTGCAGCATTCTTGGCAAGTGCACGCAGGGGTTGTATGCCGGATATGGGTACAAGTCACCTTCAGTGGTTTGACTGTCTTCTTTAAAACGACAGACATAAAGCAATCCAGAACAGTCTTAGCATTGTACTTAAAGTTATATTTTAGGTCTACAGGTAATAAATTATACCTGTGTTTTATAGACATGAGTTATTTATATTCTTTTTTTATTTTTAAATGTTTAGTTTTTTCTCTCACTGTATGGACACAAACTGCCTGTCATATGCATGGACATCTCTTATGTAAGTAAAATTTAAATATTGTCTCAGTAACAAGTTGTCTTTTCTAAAATGCTATCTTAGTTCTTGGCTTGATAGCTTCATTTTAGTATTTTTCAGTTTGTTGTATAACTGACTATCCTAAAAAAAATCATACTTTAGATATATATATTTCTTTAATGCTTTTAGAATATTTTCACGGATACCTGAATTAATCCTCATAACCAACTCCCTGTTTTGGATTCCCCAAATAGTATTTTCTTGTATAAAAATAATATAATTGGTAGAATACCCTAGAATATGAAGAACTTTCAAAAAGGCAGCCGCCTTTGTTCTGAAGTATAATGTTTGTAAGGAAAATGGAACTTTGCAATATCTACGGTATTTTGCGTTATGTATACTTCTAGTCTCTTGACCAAAGTCATATTTTTTGTAATGTCTAGTTATGATTAGGAGTGGCAATATATATTTAAAAACAATGTCTAGTCTGTGTAAAAGGAATTGGCCCCTGCTCTAGCTTGTCTGCACTCAGTGCATTAACAGAATAAATTGGTGTCAGAAAATATTTTCAGTTTTCTTGTTATGTTGACAGCAATTTGAACTAGGTGCTAAAACAGGAAAGGTAAGAAAATCAGTGATAGGAGACATGGCATAAAAAGGGCTAGGTCATAAACATTCTATATAGTAGATTCTTTCCCAGCCTTATTCTTCTCTTTCCCTCTTCTCTCCCACCAAACTCTATGACAGAGATTAGAGATTCTTTATTCTATCTGTTGGACAAAGTAAACATAACCTCCATCAAGGCATAACACTGTCCTGTAGCAGGACCAAAACATCTAAGCCACAGAGTTCTTGCTTACTTACAAGCTTTATAAGTAGATCTGTAGGTAAAAGAGAGGATGTAGGTGCTCTTGGTAAAGAGATGAAATTAATTTTTTGGCATTAATGTTTTTGAAAGAAATGGGATACATGTTCTGGTTAGCTTTTCTCCAATTAGAGTTTCAGATAATCAAGTAATGTTTTACTTCTCTTCCTCCTAGGATGGAGCACTGATAGCAACTGGCTCTGCTGACAGGAATGTGAAGATCTGGGGTCTGGACTTTGGGGACTGCCACAAGTCTCTGTTTGCACATGATGACAGGTAGGTGTCATCTTTTCAAAGACCTCCCATTGAGTCACCTGTAGGTATCATTTCCCGGCAGCATCTGTGTCTATTATTTAGTGTTCTCAGATAGTCAGAAATTAAAAATTCTAAAATATAGTCAGACACTCTAGAACTAGCTATTCAAAAGCTATTTATGTGTATAAGACTCTTTTTAATGATGAGGAATTTGATGACATTTGAGTACTTCTCTCACTTTTCAGTGTGATGTACCTAAAGTTTGTACCCAAGTCTCACCTCTTCTTCACTGCTGGGAAAGACCATAAGATTAAGCAGTGGGATGCAGACAAATTTGAACACATACAAACTCTGGAGGTAACCTCTTGCCTGCTTTGCTTGCTCAGTACTTAAGAACTTCTTTTAAGATCAAGTGTTGATTTCCCACTATTGTAAGCAGTTAGCAGTCTATGAATAAGGTATTCTTACTCAGGATTTTTGTTTTTTGTCCTTTCTCTCTGCAGGGGCATCACCAGGAAATATGGTGCTTGGCTGTAAGCCCCAGTGGGGACTATATTGTATCATCGTCCCATGACAAATCTCTGAGACTTTGGGAGAGAACAAGGGAGCCTCTTATTCTTGAGGAAGAAAGGGAGATGGTAAGGTGTTCAGCCTTGGTTACAAATGTGCTGGTGGGTGTCAGTATCTGACACGCTGTCTCAGCTCGAGTTTCCTGTCTAGTGCTGTCACACCTCAGTCAGTGCAAGTCCATTGAGCTCCAAAAGATGTTTCCAAGACTGCTGACACCACTTCGGCAGCCAAGCGGAGACAGAGATGCCATAAGGGGGTTGGATTGTGAAAGAAGCAGCTTCTCACTGTCTCATTTCACTTCACATAGGGGTCATGTTTTTTCTTTGAAATTAATTCATATCTATCTCTTGTCAGCAAAGGGAAGCAGAATATGAGGAGAGTGTGGCCAAAGAAGACCAACCAGTAGTAAGTAAATCTTTCGGGACCCTCAGACTGTGTCCTGTAATTATCTTATTGGAATTTACTGTAATTTCAAGAATTTCTAATGGGATTCGAATTGGGACTAGATGTCAAAGTCATCCACAGCTGATACGGGAAGGAATCTGTGTAGTCCTTCTTAATCCAGCTGTATATCCTGATTTTATGGGACAAATGATTGACCAGATTTGGTATTGAATGATTTTCGTTCTGGCTTTTTTAAGGAGGCTTCAGGCAGTTGTTTCACTGTAAATCAAAAATCAGAAAAAAATTGAGAAATTGGGCATTCTCTTTAAACGTGTTGTAGAGCAGGGTATTCTTTTGATAATGCATATAACACATTTAACATAGTGTCTGGCACTTACTAAGTACTCAGTTAATGGTAGCTGATAACACCATGTAACAGTCATCGTAACATAGTAATGTCTATTCTTTTCTGGATGTAAGATTAATTTATTGGCTCTTTAACACCTGTCAATGAAATTGTTAAAGGATCTCTTTGTTCCTGGCAGGTTCCGGGAGAGACTCAAGGTGACAATTACTTTACTGGAAAGAAAACTATTGAAACGGTCAAAGCAGTAAGTTGATACTAGAATGCAGTATCTCATTTTTAATTTTTTTTTATTTCCAAAAAGTATTTTATTAAAATCTAAAGAAAAACACAAAGGAAACAATTATAAGAAATAAAAACAGCATGAAATTGCCCTTTTTCTAGATTTGACCCTAAAATCACCAAATAAGTGTTAAGAGCTCCTATTCTAATTCCTTTACTTTATGGCAGTAGTTCTCAAAGTGGAGCCCCCAGACCAGAATCATCAGCATCCCCTGAGAACTTGTTAGAAAAGGAAATTCCCAGGCCCTAGCCCAAACCTACTGAATGTGGATCACAGGGGTGGGGTGAGCAATAAGTGGGGGTTTTTTTGTTTGTTTGTTTGCTTTTTTGATTATAGACTCTTTTTTTTAAATTGAAGTGTAGTTGATTTACAATGTTGTGTTAATTTTTGCTGTACAGCAAAGTAATTCAGTTATATATACATTCTTATAAATTCTTTTCCATTATGGTTTATCATAGGATACTGAATATAGTTCCCTGTGCTATACAGTAGGACCTTGATGTTTATCCATTCCATATATAATAGCTTACGTCTGCTAACCCCAGCCTCCTACTCCATCCCTCCCCCAAAGCAGCCACAAGTCTGTTCTCTATGTCCGTGAGTCTGTCTCTGTTTTGTAGATGGGTTCATTTGTGTCATGTTTTAGATTCTACATATAAGTGATATCATATGGTATTTGTGTCTCTTTCTGACTTAGTTCATTCAGTATGGTAATCTCTAGTTGCATCCATGTTGCTGTAAATGGCATATTTTGTTCTTTTTTATGGTTCAGTAGTATTCCATTGTACATTTGTACCACATCTTTTTTTTCTTAAACATCTTTATTGGAGTATAATTGCTTTACAATGTTGTGTTAGTTTCTGCTGTATAACAAAGTGAATCAGCTATATGTATACATATGTCCCCTCCCTCTTGCGTCTCCCTCCCACCCTCCCTATCCCACCCCTCTAGTGTACCACATCTTCTTTATCCATTCATCTATTGATGGACATTTAGGTTGTTTCCATGTCTTGGCTATTGTGAATAGTGCTGCTATGAACATAAGGGTGCACGTATCTTTTTGGATTAGAGTTTTGTCTGGATATATGCCCAGGAGTGGGATTGATGGATCATATGGTAATTCTATTTTTAGTTTCTTGAGGAACCTCCATACTGTTTTCCATAGTGGCTGTACCAACTTACATTTCCACCAACAGTGTAAGAGGGTTCCCTTTTCTTCACATCCTCTCCAACGTTTGTTATTTGTAGAGTTTTTAATGTGGCCATTCTGACCACTGTGAGGTAGTACCTCATTGTAGTTTTGATTTGTATTTCTCTAATAATTAGCAATGTTGAGCATCTTTCATGTGCCTACTGGCCATCTGTATTTCTTTGGAGAAATGTCTATTTAGGTCTTCTGCCCATTTTTCAATTGGGTTGTTTGTTTTTTTGTTATAGAGTTGTATGAGCTGTTTGTATGTTTTGGAAATTAAGTCCTTGTCAGTCACATCGTTCACAAATATTTTCTCCCATTCTGTAGGTTGTTTTTTCATTTTTTTTATGGTTTCCTTTGCTGTGCAGAAGCTTGTAAGTTTGATTATGTCCCATTTAATTATTTTTGTTTTTATTTCTACTGCCTTGGGAGACTGACCTAAGAAAATATTGGTACTATCTATGTCAGAGAATGTTTTGTCTATAATCTCTTCTGGGAGTTTTATGGTGTCATGCCTTATGTTTAAGTCTTTAAGCCATTTTGAGTTTATTTCTGTGTATGGTGAGAGGGTGTGTTCTAACTTCATCAATTTACATGCAGCTGTCCAGCTTTCCCAACACCACTTGCTGAAGAGACTGTCTTTTTCCCATTGTATGTTCTTGCCTCCTTTGTTGAAGGTTACTTGACAGTAGGTGTGTGGGTTTATTTCTGAGCTCTCTATTCTGTTCCGTTGATCCATATGTCTCTTTTTGTGCCAATACCATGCTGTTTTGATTACTGTAGCTTTGTAGTATTGTCTGAAGTCTGGGAGGGTTATGCCTCCCGCTTTGTTTGTTTTCTTCAGGATTGCTTTGGCAATTCTGGGTCTTTTATGGTTCCATATAAATTTTAGGATTATTTGTTCTAGTTCTGTGAAAAATGTCATGGGTAATTTGGTAGGGGTCACATTAAATCTGTAAATTGCCTTGGGTAGTATGCCCATTTTAACAGTATTCTTCCAGTCCAAGAACATGGGATATCTTTCCATTTCTTTTTTTAAAAAATAAATAAATTAATTTATTTATTTCTGCCTGCATTGGGTCTTCATTGCTGCATGCAGGCTTTCTCTAGTTGTGGCGAGTGGGGGCTACTCTTTGTTGCAGTACATGGGCTCTAGGTGTGCAGGCTGCAGTAGTTGTGGCACGTGGGCTCAGTAGTTGTGGCTTGCAGGCTCTAGAGCGTGGGCTCAGTAGTTGTGGCACATGGGCTTAGTTGCTCCACGGCATGTGGGATCTTCCTGGACCAGGGCTTGAACCCGTGTGCCCTGTGTTGGCAGACAGATTCTTAACCACTGTGCCACCAGGGAAGTCCCTATCTTTCCATTTTGTTGAATCATCTTCAATTTTCTTTATTAAGGTTTTATAGTTCTCAGTGTATAAGTCTTTCACTTTCTTGGTCAGGTCTATTGCTAAGTATTTTAGTTTTGGGTTGCAGTTTTGAAAGGTATTTTGGTTTTTTTCGATGTAATGTCCTGAAAATATCAATTAAGTCTAACTGTTCTATTGTGTCATTTAAGATCTCTGTTGCCTTGATTTTCTGTCTAGAAGATCAGTCCATTGATGTGAGTAGGGTTTTAAAGTCTCCTACTATTGTATTGTCAGTTTTTCCCTTTATGTATATTAGTATTTTCTTTTTTTTTTTTTTGTGGTACGCGGGCCTCTCACCGTTGTGGCCTCTCCCATTGCGGAGCACAGGCTCCGGATGCGCAGGTTCAGCGGCCATGGCTCACGGGCCCAGCCGCTCCGCGGCATGTGGGATCTTCTCAGACCGGGGCACGAACCCGTGTCCCCTGCATCGGCAGGCAGACTCTCAACCACTGCGCCACCGGGGAAGCCCTAGTATTTTCTTTTTATTTAAATTTATTTTTATTTTTGGCTGCGTTGGGCCTTCGTTGCTGCATGTGGGCTTTCTCTAGTGGCAGCAAGTGGGGGCTACTCTTTGTTGCGGTGCGTGGGCTTCTCATTGTGGTAGCTTCTCTTTGTTGTGGTGCACAGGCTTCAGTAGTTGTGGCACGTAGGCTCAGTAGTTGTGGTTCGTGGGCTCTAGAGCGCAGGCTCAGTAGTGGCACATGGTCTTAGTTGCTCCGTGACATGTGGGATCTTCCCGGACCAGGGCTCGAACTCGTGTCCCCTGCATTGGCAAGCGGACTCTTAACCACTGTGTTACCAGGGAAGTCCCTGTATATTAGTATTTGTTTTATGTATTTGGGTGCTCCTATATTGGGTGCATACATGTTGATGAGTGTAAACTCCTCTTCTTGTATTGATCCTTTTATTATTATATAGTGTCCTTCTTTATGGGCTTTGTTTTAAAGTCTGTTTTGTCCAATATGAGTATTGCAACCCCAGCTTGCTTGTCATTTCTGTTTGCATGAAATATCTTTTTACATTCCCTCCCTTTCAATATTTCATCTTTGTCCCTTTTTCTTTGTTTTTCCTTTTGTGGTTTGATGATTTTCTTTCATATTATGTTCTTTTCTTTTTGGTTTTTGTGACTCTATTGTATGTTTTTCATTTGTAGTTATCCTGTTTTTCAAGTATGTTAACCCCGTCCTATATCTACTTGCCTTAGACTGGTAGTCATATAGGCTCAAACACATTCTAGGAAATGAAAAAAAGAAAAATCTACCTTTTCTTACTCTCCTCACCCACATTTTATGATTTTGATGTCCTGTTTACATCTTCACGTTCATGCTTTTGCTATTCATTGTGGTATCATCACGTTCACAAAAATTTTATTTTATTTTTTATGTGTACTGGCTTATTTATGTGAGTTGCTTTCCAATTGTGAATTTTCTCTTCCCTATATATTCTTCCTACTTTTCTGCTTAGAGAGGACCTTTCAATATTTGCTTCAGGATAGGTTTAGTATTGCTATATTCTTTTAGTTTTTGCTTGTCTGAGAAATTCTTTATCCCTCCTTCTATTCTAAATGATAATCTTGCTGGCTAGAGTATCCTCGGATACACATTCTTCCCTTTCAGGACTTCGCATGTATCTTGCCACTCCCTTCTGGCCTGCAGTGTTTCTGTAGAGAAATCTGCTGATAGCCTTATGGGGGTTCCCTTATAATTAACTGTTTTTTTCTTGCTGCCTTGAGAATCCTCTTCATCTTTAACTTGTGCCTTTTTTATTATAATATGTCTTGGTGTAGGTTTGGGTTTACCTTGTTTGGGACCCTCTGTGCTTCCTGTACCTGCTCTATCTGTTTCCTTCTTTAGGTTTGGGAAGTTTTCAGCCATAATTTTTCAAATACATTTTCAGTCCCCTTTTCTCTTCCCCTTCTGGAATCCCGATTATGTGTAGATTGGTACACTTTATATTATCCCATAGGCCTCTTATATTGCTTTCATTCTTTTCTCATTTGGCTTTCTGTCTGCTGTCCTGATGGGTGATTTCCATCATTCTATCTTCCAGGTCACTTATTCGTTCTACATTATTTATTCTGCTGTTCATTGCCTGTAGTTCAGTTTTTGTCTCGACAAATGAGTTTTCTAATTTTTCTTGGTTCCTCTTTACTGTTTCTAGTTCCTTTTTCTAGTACTCTGCATTTCTGTTGATAGCCTTTCTTAATTCCTTCAGTATTTTCATTATCTCCTTTTTGAAATCAGTGTCTTATTAGACTGAAGAGGTCTATCTACTGTGGTCTTGGAGGGCTGTTTTTATGTGGGAGCATCCCTGTGTAGCCTGTGTGGGTTTAATATTTTTGGTGCAAGGGCTGATTTTCGTATGGATGCCTGTTGCCTCTTTTCTCATCGTGTGCTGGCCATTATCCCCTTAATAGAGGGTGTGCAGATGCAGTGGCTGGTGCCTGGTTGTGGGGTTCTCAGCGGCAGTGGTGGCTCATGTGTGCCCCCGGAGCACATGATGGGAGCAGAGGCAGCTCATGATCACTCTTGGAGCTCATGTAGGCAGTGTCCTGCCGCCTGAGAGCTCGCTCAGGGAAAACGGCTGCAGGGTGGCTCCCGCGCCTCCCCTCGCACACTGCCCGCACAACAGCACCTCTCCAAAGCCCAAGTTTCCACACCCAGCCCTTGCCCGTACTGGCAGACGTGCATCTCAGGCTGGGGAGTGTAGAGCGGGTGCACTGACCCCCTGTGCAGGTCTCTATTCTAGCTGCTGCAGATCGGTTGCTGTTTTCTCCTCCAAGGCTCTGAAGCTCTCCCTCTGTCCTGGCTGATCTCCCTGCCAGTGAGGGCACTTCCCAGGGTGCAGGAACCTTTCTTGTTTCACAGCTCCCTGCCTGGGGCGCAGGTCCCGACCCGATTACTTCCTTCCTTACTTTCTTTTTTTTTTTACTTTTGTCCTACCTGGTTACATGGAGATTTTCTTTGCCCTTTCAGGGGTCTGAGGTCTCCTGCCAGCATTCAGTAGACATTCTGTGAGAACTGTTCGACATGTAGATATGTTTTTGATGTAGTTGTGGGAGGAGGTGAGCTTCACATCCTTCTACTCTGCCATCTTGATCGCTCTCCTGTATCTCATTTTTATTTTTTAAAATTTATTTATTTATTTTGGGCTCTTTTGGGTCTTCGCTTCCGTGCGAGGGCCTTCTCCAGTTGCGGCAAGCGGGGGCCACCCTTCATCGCGGTGCGCGGGCCTCTCACTATCGCGGCCTCTCCCATTGCGGAGCACAGGTTCCAGACGCGCAGGCTCAGTAGTTGTGGCTCACGGGCCTAGCTGCTCCGCGGCATGTGGGATCCTCCCAGACCAGGGCTCGAACCCGTGTCCCTTGCATTAGCAGGCAGATTCTCAACCACTGTGCCACCAGGGAAGCCCCTGTATCTCATTTTTAAATAGGATCCCAACCAGATAGGCCTTTTGTGGCAAAAAGTTGATGAAATTTACAGATGAAGATCATAACCTCTGTTTTCCTCCCTTGTAACCAAGGACAGAAGTAGTGCTGAATCGGTTGGATCAGTGCCTGGTTTCTAGAAAGGAAAGTTTGATCTCCTGAAAGTGGCACCTCTCAGGTGTTCCTGGGAGTTGCCCTACTCAGTGTGTCCACTTGTAGTCTCACCTGAATCCATGACCCAGTCTCCTTGTAAATTAAAAAAGAAAAATCAGGGACTTCCCTCTGGCGCAGTGGTTAAGAATCCACTTGTCATAGTAGGGGACACGGGTTCAATCCCTGGTCTGGGAAGATCCCACATGCTATGGAGCAACTAAGCCCATGCACCACGACTACTGAGCCTGCACTCTAGAGCCCACGAACCACAACTACTGAACCCACGTGCTGCAACTACTGAAGCCTGCATGCTCTAGGGCCTGCATGCTGCAACTAAGCCCGCGTGCTGCGACTACTGAGCCCACATACCTAGAGCCTGTGCTCCACAACAAGAGAAGGCACCGCAATGAGAAGCCCGCGTACCACAACGAAGAGTAGTCCCCGCTCAGCACAACTTGAGAAAGCCTGTGTGCAGCAGCGAAGACCTAATGCAGCCAAAAATAAGTAAAATTTAAAAAAAAACAAAAAAAACCCCGAGGACATCTTTGAATGCTGTTTGGCACACTATTGGCACATCTTTATTAAACCGATTCAAGCAATTTCATTTGGTAACTTTTCGTCAGGCCTTCCATTTGCAGTGTTGTGGGATGGTGAGTTTGTTGTGATGACTTCTGTCCTTTGCCATCATCCGTGTAGGCTGAGAGGATCATGGAGGCTATTGAGCTATACAGAGAAGAAACTGCAAAAATGAGAGAACACAAAGCCATTTGTAAAGCTGCAGGGAAAGAGGTAAGACAGTCCATTAAGTTACGGTCTGAGAAACATTTATAAATGGAGACAATTCCTGAGGAAAAAAACATCATTTGGGGATTTATTAACTCAGATCAGGAAATGAGATAAATGTAGTAGAATCTTTTCTAATTCAAACATTAGAAGGAATTGAGAAGCTTTGTCTTAATAAAAAGCCAAGGATAGTTAATTTGAGATCATGGTGATTATTGTATTGAGTTAAAAACTCAGATTCCTCCTTTTGTTTGGGAGGCAGGGTAAACATTTCGGATTTCTAGATGAAATGTATTGCCCAGACTCATTCATAAATAAGCAGTATTGAAACTAAAAGCTATTATTAAATAATTTAATAATTCTTCAGGGTCAGTTTTTAGGGTCTCTCTTTTCAAAAGTGTAAAATATTGTTATGACCCTGCCTGTGATGTGATAAGCACTATCAAAGGCTTGTTTTTTAATGACTTGATTTAATAATTTCTTCATAGGTTCCTCTTCCCATCAACCCCATCCTGATGGCTTATGGCAGTATCTCTGTGAGTAGACTAATGGTTTCCCCTTGGTTATTCTAAGGTTACTTTCAGGCACAAGAGAGGAAGTGAAGAGGCATTATGATTTTAGAATAGACATATTGGGAAATACTTCGTCATTAAAAATCTCTTGAATGCTGGAATCCTCTAAGACATTTTGTATTTCAAAAGGACCATTTTAGTGTAACTTCAAGTCATCCTTTCTGGTTGGACTGGACTGGCATTGTTCTTTTAGTGCTTATTTATGTTTAGTATCCACAGCCCTCTGAAGATTCTGTTCATTGAAACTGAAGTTTTTGGAGGAAAAGTTGATATAAGTCAGATAAAAGAGGAGAGAGGGAGAATACTGGGACAACGTATGCTCTTAGTGATCTTTAATTACTCAATACTTGCATGTTTCATTCATCACAATAGTAATGTGAGTCAGTGTGTCTTCATTTTATAGATAGGAGACTGTTCTGACTTACAGATCGAAGGGAACATAGCTGATAAGTGGCAGAGCTGGATTGTGAACCCAGATCTGACTCAGTCTAAGCCCGTGCACGTAGTGCCCTTTTTAGAACAGTTTCTCATAAGAAGGAGAGATATCCCTGGTTTTTAGGAGATAGAAATTAGAGAGCTTCAGTTAAGAAATCAAGAGTATCACTAATGCTGTCACACTTCCTTTATAGCCTTCAGCTTATGTGTTGGAGATTTTTAAAGGAATCAAGTCAAGGTGAGTGCCAGTGCGCAGTTATTACAGCTAATACCATTTACCGAACATGAGATAAACAGACATTATAATTGATGGTTATCTTCTTTAGAGGTTTAACTATGTCAAAATTTTGATGGAAAATAATTCATTATAATGTTCTTTTTGAATTAGAACTAGAAGTTTCCTCCTAAAATATGAAGGGAGATATTGAATACTTTTAAAAAGCACAAATGAAGGGCAGTGCTACTTTATATCATAGGTAATGAAATCATCTATAATTCAGTCACAGGTACCAACTGCTAACATTTTTTGTTGTATATTTCCTTTGGCTTATTTTCTGTATACATACACAGTTGGAATCATATGTATACATTTTTATATCCTGTCCTTTTTCACAGAATATTTCCTGAGCACTTGCTCACTTTAGTAATATTCTTCAAAAACACGTCATTGAATTAGTTCAAAATATTCCATTGTATATATAGTTACTATTGGGTGGTGCATATGTGTTTGGCTGTTACCAATACTGCCTTAGTAAACACCTTTATATATAAATCTTTGTCATCATCATTGATTATTTTTCTTAAGGGTCCTAGCAGTCTATTAACTAATCAATGGACATGAACTTTTTAAAGGTTTATGTTGCTTAATTACTGTCAGAGTGCTTGTAATGACTTTTACCAGCTTTTAAAAAATTCTTTGCTGGTTGAGAGGCAAAAGGTGGTACTGCATTATTTTCCTTTTTAATTAACAAAGTTAAAATTTTATTATATCTCTTGGCCATTTTTATTTTTTCCTGTGAATTTTTACTTTCCCTTTCTTGTGCTTTATAGTTGTTTCTCTTACCGGTTTTTTAAGAATTTTTTTATATCTTTTGTCATTCATTTTTGAAATAATATTTGAGTTAGATCTACTGAGAGTTATCATTTTTTTAATAACAAATCACAATATCTGAGTATATCCCATACAAGAAACAAACAGGACCTATCTAAGATAATGAAACTTTGCTAGAGAAATGTAAAAGAAAATTTAGAGTAATGGAGGTACGATGCATTCCTAGATGGGAAGATTCTGTGTTTTAAAGATTTGGTTTTTCTTAAACTAGTCTATAGGTTTGTGATGCCAGTTGAAATTCTCTTGAGAGTTCTAGTTGGAATTGATGAAATGATAATAGAACTAGCTCAAGAAAAGTAAAACAAACCAGAAAAAGAACAAGAGGGAGCTGTTCTCCTAGATTAAAAAGCTGTAAAAATGCACCTGTATGGATTGTTGTCAGAATCAGTTATGAAAACAGACTCTAAAGCCCTAGAACACTCTATGATATAGAGGGACTCAATAAATGGTAAAAGAAGTATCATATAAAGATGGGATATACAACAAAAGGCTTTAAAGAAATTGGTTATCTGAAAGAAAAACAGTTAGATTCTCCTACCCTGCCATGGACCAGAATGCATCAAGTAGGTTAAAATACTAAATATAAAAAACCAAAACGTTGAAAAGAGAGAACCATTCATAATACAGATGTATGTTTAACTCTGGATGGGTAAGATCTACTCAAGTATAAAAGTAGAAGAAAAAAATAGGAGAGGAAAAGATTTTTAAATTGACTATGTTAAGAAACGTGGCATTTTTAATGTTTATTTTTTCCTCTTCAGTGAGCTGGAAGAATCTCTGCTTGTGCTGCCTTTCTCTTACGTCCCAGACATTCTTAAGCTCTTTAATGAATTCATCCAGCAGGGCTCTGATATTGAACTTCTATGTAGGTGCCTCTTCTTTCTCCTCAGGTAACGTCCTTTCCAAAAGAATATCATGTCTTATCCGCATAACTGCTCCAGTAGTGCCTCACCTGAAGCTGTCCATGCTTTGGGATTAAGAAATGTGATGTTTCCGTTTCAGAGACTGTTGGGAATTTCAGTGCTGCCTGACATAATTCTTATCCTTTGGAGTCAGTCTTGCTCGTAAAATGCAGTTAGTGATGACCCAACTCTAAGTAGCATGAGGTACTATGTTCCTAAGGATGCTCAGGCAGGCGGAGGTCTCCAGGTTACAGTCTAAGGTAGCAGTTCTGGTTCTAGTCAGTTTGCTGAAAGCCCATCTCTGAATGGCCAGTCTGCCTCAGTGTTTCTTTTTGACTATTGAGTTTAAACCAAATGGTTTTATTTTCATAATAGCATTTTAAGGAGTAGTCAGTTTATTTCCCAGGTCTCTACAAGTACAAATGGAAGGATAGGGGCATATTTGGAGGGAACTAAGAAACATAAAGAAAACGTTCATTAGATTATATTCTTAAATAGGAAGAATTCTTATTAATATGTAACAGAGGGAAAATATATTTACAAAGGCGTAATATATTCTTATCTTCCACTGTGTCCCCCAGTCTCAAGCTGTTATATCAGAGCACAGGAATAGAGGCAAATTTGAACATTCCTTAAAATGCTATTAGGAAATCAGAAACTGCTCAGCCAATACCAAATAGTTAAAAAGAAAACAGGTGTATTTGGTGAATTGGCCTTTTTTCATGATCATTAACCCTTCATTCCTTTATTTCTTTCAGGATAGTAGCAAATGAAGAACAATGATATGTTTATATTATTCTGTTGTCATATTTACAGTTTATTTTTTAATTGCTATGGCATATGTGCTATTGAATCGGGGTTACTGATTCTAAGAGAAACACAGTGAATATTTCTAGCATATTGGGGTGGTAGATGGGTGCTACCTCGCAGGTAGATATGGCAGGTCACAACTGAGGGTGAGGGTGAATGTGGAGGTTAAAGGAGCATGAATCATCAAGGGCATCTTGGTACTCTAGGTCAGAGTTTGATCATCTCTTTTTTTGGCTGAAATATTAATAAATCTTTGAGTTAGCAATTCTTAGAAGGCTCATTTTCCTCTGGTCTTTACATAGAATGCCGTTGTCAAAATCTGTGGCCACTGGGTAGATTGCAAAGAGTCAGCTTTGCAAATGAGTTGAATGTTAGGATAGTATTTTAAAAATTGTTATTGGGTAGAATTGAATAGTAGGAAGAAACTTCTTTAGTTTTTTTTCATAGAAGCATTTCTGTATTCCCATGATTGGCAAAATGATTTTTTTTTTGGACATTTTGTCTGTTTGCTAGTTCTAGAAGGGACAGGTATAGCTAGAACCACTATCCTTCTTTGTGACATGCCTGGTTTTATTTTTGTTAGGATTCACTTTGGCCAGATCACTAGCAACCAAATGCTTGTGCCAGTGATTGAAAAATTAAAGGAAACAACTATTTCAAAAGTCAGCCAAGTCCGGGTAAGTATCTTTGTAGAGACAGAACAAGGAGGGGAAAATTCTAGTGTGTATGTTACTTACAAGTAGCATAGTGTGCTGTGCCCTATCTTTGGTGATATTGACCTGACATGCATGTATATTTAAGATGAAGTTTTTGTTAGAGCTAGTAGACAAAAAAACAAACAAACAAGGAAAACCCTTAGGGAAGGATGAGTAACAACACATGAAGCTTTGGTTCCCCTGACTCACATATGCTGCGATATTGACTGAATTGAGAGGAAGTTTATTTAATCTCTCTTGTATTCTTTCTCAGGATGTTATCGGCTTCAACATGGCAGGTCTTGATTTTCTCAAGAGGGAATGTGAGGCAAAAAGTGAAGTTATGTTTTTTGCTGATGCTACCAGCCACTTGGAAGAAAAGAAGAGGAAAAAGAAAAAGAGGGAGAAGCTGATTTTAACATTGACTTAGAACTGAAATGTGGTGCCTTTTTCAACTTTGTCTTGAAAAGGACTTCCAAACTAAGCAGCAGAACCTATGAATGTGATCTTATTTGGAATTTGGGTCTTTACAAATATAATTAGTTAAGATTGGTCATTCTAGATAAGATTAAATCCAATGATTTGCTTTTATAAGAATGCCATGTGATGGACAGCTACATGTAAAAGAATGAAATTAGAACATTCTCTAACAAACACCATACCCCAAAATAAACTCAAAATGGATCAAAGACCTAAATGTAAGGCCAGACACTATAAAACTCTTCGGGGAAAATAAAGAACACCCTTTGACGTAAACCTCAGCAATATCTTTTTGGATCCACCTCATAGAGTAAGGAAAATAAAAACAAAAATAAACAAATGGGACCTAATTAAACTTAAAGCTTTTGCACAACAAAGGAAACCATAAACAAAATGAAGAGACAGCCCCCAGAATGGGAGAAAATATCTGCAAACAAAGCAACCAACAAGGGATTAATCTCTAAACTATACAAACAGCTCTACGTTAAAAAAAAAAAACAAGGCACATGAAAAGATGCTCAACATCACTAATTATCAGAGCAATGCAAATCAAAACTACAATGAGGTACTACCTCACATCGGTCAGAATGTCCATCATCAAAAAGTTTACACACAATAAATGATGGAGAGGGTGTGGAGAAAAGGGGACCCTCCTACACTGTTGGTACCACCACTATGGAGAACAGTATGGAGGTTCCTTAAAAAACTAAAAATAGAACTACCATATGATCCAGTAGTCCCACTCCCGGGCATATATCTGGAGAAAACCATAATTCAAAAAGATACATGCACCCCAGTGTTCACTGCAGCGCTATTTAGAATAGCCAAGACACGGAAGCAACGTAAATGTCCATTGACAGATGAATGGATAAAGAAGATGTGGTACATATATACAGTGGAATATTACTCAGCCGTAAAAAATAATGAAATAATGCCATTTGCAGCAACGTGGATGAACCGAGAGATTATCATCCTAAATGAAGTAAGTCAGACAGAGGAAGACAAATATCATACGATATCACTCATATGTGGAATTAATTAAAAAATGATACAAATGAACTTATTTACAAAACAGAAACAGACTTACAGATATCAAAACAAACTTATGGTTTCCAAAGGGGAAATGTGGCGGGGAGGGATAAATCAGGAGCTTGGGATAAACATACACTACTATATATAAGGTAGATGGCCAACAAGGACCTGCTGTATAGCACAGGGAACTCTATTCAATGTTGTGTGATGACCTATATGAGAAAAGAATCTAAAATAGAATAATATATGTATATGTATAACTTAATCACTTTTCTGTACACCTGAAACTAGCACAACATTGTACATCTATACTCCAGTAAAATTAAAATTAAAAAAAAAAAGAATGCCATGTGAGGACACACAGAGAGGGAGGCCACATGACAGCAGAGGCAGAGATTGGGATTGGAGTGACAGCAGCTACAACCCTAGGAACACCAAGGATCCTGTCTACCACCAGAAACTAGGAGAGAGGCATGGAACAAATTCCCTCAGTGCTTCCAGAAGGAACAAACTCTAATACCTTGGTTTCAGACCTCCTAAACTGCAAGAGAATAAATATCCATTGTTTTAAGCCACCCAGTATGGTCATTTGTCATGGCAGCCTCAGGAAACTGATAACAAATTTTGGTACCAGGAAGTGAGGTACTGCTATAGCAAATACCTAAAAATATGGAAGTGGCTTTGGAATCAAGTAATGGGTGAAACCGGGAAGAATTTTGAGCTACATGATAGAAGAAAGTCTAGATTACCTTGAAGAGACTGTTGTTGGTAGAAATAATGGACAGTAAAAGCACTTTTGGTGAGGGTTCAGAAGGAAGTGATGGGGAAAGTAAAGAACACTTTAAGCATCTTAGAGAATTCCTACATCATGAATAGAATGTTGGTATAAATATGAACATTAAAGGTGATTTTGCTAAGACCTCAGGTGGAAATGAAGAATACGTTATTGGACAGTGGAGGAAAAGTGATCCTTGTTACGAAGTGGCAGAAAACTTGGCTGAATTGTGTTCTGCTTTTGGGTAAAAAGTAGAACTTATAAACAATGAAATTGGATTTCCAGCTGACGTTTCCAAGCAAAACATGGAAGATGTGTCCTGGTTTCTTGCTGCTTATAGTAAACAAGAGGAAAGGGGTAAACTGAGGAAGGAAATGGTCAGCAAAAAGGAACCTGAACATGATTTGGAAAATTCACAGCCAGTCCATATTTCAGGAAATGCTAAGGCATGCTCTGGAGCGTTCATCAAGGGTGCAGCTGGAAAACCCAGTGGAGAAATTAGATTTGTGACCATGAGTATAATCAACCATCTCAGCAGAAGCTAGGAACAGAGGTGAGACTATCCAGGAAGGACCTGTGGAGAACCCTCACGTCTAATGGCGTGGATCTCCTTGATATCCATGAAGACTGATGATTTTTGAGAATGTTCTATCAGCAGAAACACTGCCTGTTTGGCCTGGCGGACAGAGACAAGAAATGAAGGAAGGCTGCCAGACTTCTGGGCTTCTATAAGCAGGAAATGGGGTGCCCAGAGGATAAGACTGTCCCAGGCTAACAACTGAGAGGGTGGGGCCCACAAGGCATCTGTGGGTCTAGAGGGGGGTGCTGGTGAAGCCTCTGGCCCAGAGGGCAGATCAAGACACAGATAATTATGCTCAGGCTTTGAAACCTTAGGAAATCTGCCCCGCTGCACTGCAAACACTTAAATCAGTGACTCCTTTATTCTTTCCATTCTCTCCTTTTAGAATGGGAATGTCTTATGCTACGTTGCAAGCTGACAACTTGTTTCTAGTTTCACAAGTCCATAGATGGAGAGGACACCATGATAGGTGAAGACTTTGGGAAATAATTGGGATGGAGTGAGTGCATTTTGCATGTGAGATGGGTATAAATTTTGGGGAACCAGAGGGTGGACTGTACTGAGTTTATCCCCACAAAACTCATGTCTACCAGGACTTATGAATGTGATCTTATTTGTAAATAGGGTCTTTACAGATGCAATCAAGTTAAGATGAGGTCATTCAAGATTAGAGTAGCCCCTAAAACCAAGGACTATTGTTCTTATAAGGAGAGACATATAGAAATACACAGGGAAGGATGCCATTGGGGACAGAGGCAGAAATCAGAGTGAGTTATAAGCTAAGGAACACCAAGGACTGCTGGCAACCACCAGAAGTTAGGAAAGAGGCATAGAACAAATTCTCCCTCAGAGCCTCCAGAAGGAACCAACCGTGCTGCCACCTTGATTTCAAATGTCTGGCCCCCCAAACTGTCAGAGAATAAATATCGTTTTAAGCCACCTGGTCTGCGGTACTTTGTTATGGCAGCCTCGAGACACAAATACAGATTTATTACAGCAGCCCTAGGAAACTAATGCAAGATGTTATTTGCCTTTTTCTCTCATGAGCGTACAGTGGAGTTTTCCAGAGACTATGTGATGTGTGATATGGTGACAGATTGAATACAGAGCAGATGTGAGAATCCAGCTATGTCCTATTAAGCCAGACATTGAAAAGATTTGCAAAAATGTAATACTCTTACTAATTTTTGTTTGGAAAAGTTATTTTTCATTAACAATTTATTTATGGTAATATACTGGGTTTATTTTTTAAATAAATTATAAGTTTTTCCAAGTTTTAATTCTAACTTGGTAAATATTGATAATATGACCCACATAAACAAAAGGTTTTTGGGGTCCTCAATAATTTTTAAGAATACATGAGGAGTCTTGAGTCCAAAAAATTTAAGAACCACTAGCCTAACTGTAAATTCTCAAGTCCAAAAGGGCATCCTGCTGTTTGTGTTTGTACCCTTGCTTTTTGGAGAGTCCGATCAACATCAAAAATAGCACTTGAAAGAATGAACTTTAGAATCACATTGAAGGAGGTTAGATTTTTACTTCTTCAGGATTCTCTGAGCCTCAGTTTCCTTATTTATAAAGTGGGAAAAATATCTATCTTGTAGATAGTATGAGGATTAGATAGTTTATGACTATGAAGGGGTAGTTATAATTATTAAAAACAAATATTTTCATTCCACCAGACTAAGTGGCTCATTGGTTGCTGGCTGTATGAAGATGGGAACAAATGCAAGGTCTAAGGCTTCAAGTTTGAATGGATGACAATCAAATTACAAATTTGTTACTTACCTGACACCTAATGAGAAGCTTTACGGGACATGAAGACTCCAAGTGCAGGGGAAGCAGCTGTAGAAATCTGGACCATAGGATTTTCTTTTCCCTGGGGAAAATCTTTTGGTCTCTTATCATAATTGCTGCTTGTTAAAACTGGTAAAGTACCCATTAAGGACGATTACGTTCATGAACAAATGATTTGTACATGCAAACTCATAACATTTTAGAATCTCCAGCACATTTAGCTCAATTTTAGGTATTTTCTGTCTAATGCAAATTCTGCACGCCAGGTTTAGGGGATGAAGGATGGCTATTGATCTTCTGTAATTTCTTCTGTTCACCCTAGAGTATGTTTTCTGCTAAGGGTGACTGGCCTTTCTGTAGGTGCCATCAGTCACCATAACCAGGTCCCGGACCACATCAGCATCCAGATTTCATGGTTTTTGGTGGGGAGGGGCAGGGGGACAGGCCTTGGGAAATGGACTATGAACTATCATTGTTGTCACTGGAAGTAGAGTAAGGATTTAATAAAACTCTTTTCCCCATCTCTCTGTGCCTGACAGATGGTCTCTATAAGCAAGGAAATAGAAACTTTATTAACATAAATGCAAAATTATTTAATTGCTGTGATCAGCCACAGGGATTCAGTTAGTCTGGATCAGCATCTAATAACTTGTGTGAAGAGGATGTAAGAGGACTTGATTTAATTCCCAGAGTGGGGAAAATTGTTCCCAGTGAGGTCTTTCGTGACCACCCTGCTATAAACTGCAATCCTTAACACTCCCTATACTTCCTTTCCTACTTTACATTTTCTCCCTTGTACTTATCACCATTGTAGTCCATGTTTCACTTATTTTGTCTATTGTCTGTCCTCCCACTGGAATGTAAGCTTACATAAAGGCAGAAATGTGTGTCTCTTGTTCATTGCTGTATCCCCAATGCCTAGCACATTAGAAAAACTTACGATCTTTGAAAGAATGAACAAATGAATCCAACTCCATTTCTATTGAAATCAAGGTCATCTGACACAAGTTCCCCTAAATTTCTTTCACCTCAGAATGTCTGGATCCTTAGCCATCTTTGTTCTCTCCCTTGCCAAGACTAACACTTCAGCTC